TCTGTATGTTTGAAAAAATCTAAAAATTTTATTATTATAATAGATTTTTTTTTTTTTAGATTTGTAATCTAAAACATTTAAAATTTACGCTGGTCATGTTTTGTTGACCTAGTTGGAAATTACCCCAATTGAGAATTTTTCATGTTCTTCTGTAACCAAAAATACACACAAACATACAAGTTGTTTGAAATTGATAAACATAATTTTTATGTAGAAGTGAAGGATATAATATTTATATTGTTTTGTTATTTTTAATTAAATGTCTATCTTCATGCATTTCCAAGTGACTAAAACTGATTTCAACTGCAATATCATACCATAAACATAAGGTATGACTGTTGGTTTGTGAAAGAAATTTATCTATTTCTTATATCCTACAATTGTCCCATACATTCTACATTTTGTATCTCTCCTATATATGTTTTCATGTGATGACTGTTTCCTGTTGACATTTTCCTAGACCATTCATCCATTATATATTCCTAATTATCTGTACTTAACTGAAATTAGAACTTACAATACCATATTAGGACACATTTTTATCTTGACACTTTGTAAATGCATTAGTCTTCTTTCTTTGCCTTTGTTTGTGACTTGAGGGGTTTTGATCATAAGGATTTTTTTTTTTTTTTTGCATTTCTCATTGTTTTGTTTAATTGTGAACTTGGATTTTATTGTTACTAATAAATAATACAGATGTTACACATAATCTTTCTGGTAGGAATGCTAATAATGTTGCTGTTTCTCAGTTTTTCCATGTAGAAAGACTGACTCTGAGGCATCTTCTCCAAACTTGAGATGTTGCACTCATTCATCATCATTACCACTGACTCTTTTGAACCTATAGTCTCTTGTGATTCCAAGTTCTCTTTGGATACTTATTTATTGCTCTTTCTAGCTTCTACATGATCTGATTATGAGTTGCATACTACTTACACTCTTCTCACTTTTCTTACAGGAGTTGATTTTTTATCAGTATTGTTCCTTTCCTCCATAGACTCAATTTGCAGTGGTGAGTCAAGGTGATACTTTTAACATGTCTGTCTGTTGATAAGACTGTTCCAATTCTGATTGCTTCTTGTGACCTATTCATGTGATGAGATGGTATATTGCTTGCTCTAATCTTTTTATACAGCTTTCAGATGTCTATTCATTTTGTACTTGGAGTCTGTGTTATCTGAGTTGACAGTTCCTCCTTTCATTAATTGGTTGAAGTTACTTATCACGTGTGTTTATTTGAGTGATGACAATCTTTAGATGTAATTTCATCAAGCTTATCACTTTGCTATGCCCTTTGCTGCAGCTAATTTGGCTCCTCTGATTCTGTTCAAGCTGGGATGTGGAAGACATTTCATACATTTATCAAACAGTATTTACTTCATATTCAGGTGACTTTTGCAGAGGGATTTTTTTGTTTTTCTTGTGGTTGTCCAGAATCATCTTCTCTATATTTATTAATCTGAGTTCTTTTGATATTATCTTTTTTTACCATAAGAAGTGGATACCTGCTTCATGTGGAAATTTGTACCTAGGGCCTCTACACTACCATGGTAACACTGAGTATAGTAAAACTTCTTTTAAGCATGCCTAGCCTTGAGGGAGGAAGTGTAGGTTATATTTCCTCCTTGTTGCACTTGGATTGCAATTTTTAACCTCATTACATAACTCTCGGGGTGATTATTTGTTATTGATATAGGTGCAAATAGGGTTCCTTATCACTATTTGGTCCCAGATACAGTTATTTCATAACACTGATTTTCATTTCAATTTATCATGATTACTGTTATGGAACATATCTCTGTATGGATCAGATTCTTTCCACAAATCTGGTTGCTTTGAGTGGTAGGTATTGAGGGTGCTCTATCATATCAAGCCCTAACTGCCTGGTATGTTATTGTTGAGCCAGCAGTGTTCTCCCATACAATCATGTCAATTGTATCAATCCCAACAATTTATTCACTAATGTGAGGCTGACAACAATGCCCTAACCACATGGATCTTGGAATACTAGATCTTTGTCACACTCATGGTCTATTATATCATAGATATATATAGTACCACACTTTTTCTTCATCCAAGGAGTGACAAGTGCTTCTACTTTCTCCAGTCTCACCTCTGCTTTTGTAGTTATAGTAGTTGTATTTGAAATTAACATTTTAGGTTTAAAATTGAGATTAAAGAGATGCTTACTTTAACTGATCATGCTCTTCTCTCCATGCAGAGGTAGTAACAATTAGAAAAAACTGGCCTATGTCTGTGTTGATGGGAGGCAGTAATCATATGAAAACATATAACTGTGTCTCTTAGAGAAAGATAGAGAATGCACTGTATAGTGTATAAATGGAAAGTTGTTGGATAGAAGGAAATAGTAAATTAACTCTTTTTTTTTTTTTACACAAGCAGAAACTTTTAACTCAAAGTTAGACGTAAGAACCTCTTTGAATTTAAATCTAAAAATGCTAATTTTGATTATTACAAATTTCTAGATTAGACAATAATACTCTTCTGTTCCTGATGTTAGAAGTTTTTGAAAGTAACGATGAAATGATTTACAAGGTAAAGTATTATTTTTGAACATTTTTAAGAATAGATGTTAGGTTATGGGTCTAAGCTTTAATTTGCTTCAGTGTTTATAATCTACAAAAATTGTGTTCTTAACTGTGTAAAATTATTAATTGCTGTCATATTTTTGAATTATTGTTGAAGCATGGAGGAAGCAGTCACAGTTGTTTCTTATATTGTATTATAGGTTTAAAATGAAAAAAAAAAGACAGTGAATGTCTTTAAAAACATTAGTTATAAGTCAGCAATATGAATGGGTCTTATTATTTTTTTATGCTATATCCAGACAGTAGGCAAATAGTAGTGTGAATATAAATTTGGTACATATCTTAGTCTTGTCTTAGTATACAGAATGCCATAAAAATTATTTAAGAACTGTATTGTACTCAATATATTTTAACTTTTGTTTCTTTATATTTAAAGTCATTCTCTGTGTTTTTCATTAATAGATGTAATTACAATTGCAATAAGAAAAAACATTTAGTTTACTTAGAATTATTTGCATAATAAAATCTAGTTTGATATGGTCTTACCATTCTTCTCACCTGTGTTTTATCCTGCTTCCAATTTAGTTCTGTAACAAAACTGAAAATGTTGGATAACCTCTGTAACACATGAATGTTGTGCTTGTGTGGTTTTGGTGTCCTTTTTTTGTGTGTGAATTCATATTTTGCACATAAGGTCAGCAACTAGTCAATTAGGGATTTTCACACTACCTTTCTGTGCTTCAACTGGCCCTTCATTCAAAAATGCTAGTAGAATTCTTGCCAGTAAGTTTTTCAGGTCAAGGTTTTATTGTTGGCATGTTTCTTTTATACAAACATTATGAGTTGTCAGATAATCAGTTTTATTTTTCACTTGTTTATTAATTTTATGCCATTTTCTGATATTCTGTTAGACAATAATACTCTTCTGTTCTTGATGTTAGAAGTTTTTGAAAGTAATGATGAAATGATTTACAAGGTAAAGTATTATTTTTAACATTTTAACAGTCTCACAGTGTCGCTCTCTGGTGACAATTTTGTTTCTGATTAAGGTTAAAGGTAATATTGCTGCATTTATTTTTAATGTTTGGGAACTACATTTTTTATGCTTGGACATGCTTCCAGATTAGGATTCTGTAATGATAATGTATGAGAAATGGGCAAGGATATCTTCTCTTGTATTTATCATAATATTTTTTCCCTTTCTTCAACCTAGTACAGATTTTCCCTAAACAACATGAACCAGTCTTATAGGACAAGTTCAGCTTAGAGAAGTAAACTGTTTAGGGAGCTTTGTATTATGCCTGCTGACACTTTCTAATGGAAGACTTAGATCATTGATTGAATATTACAATGGTTTTGTGTATCAATAAGCAAAAGGTCCACAGTTCCAAAAGCTATTTTTTCTCTTTTTTTATGCATCCCTACATGAGCGTGCTACCAATGGAACTGTTGACAACTTGGTAACAGGCCAACTCTTTGTTGTCCAGGCTGGAAGATTCCTACAAAGTGATTATCACAGATGGTTGTTATGTTGCAGTTAATTCAAAGTTAAAATTTTGGTGTTTTGGCTTCTCTATGACTTTGCAAAGCCCTACTGATGCTCATCTCTATGTTGAGAACATTGATATTACCGACTTAGAAATATACTTTATCACAGCCTTCTAAATCAGTCTTTTACCATAACTTTCAGGTTATAGGTTCATGGATGATTGTTGTCTATTTTCTGCTTGCTAGACATGAGTCTTCAATTTTGTTGGTACACATCTTTCATTTGCATGTTAATATTCCACACAGGAGTTATAAAAGGATTATTAGAATTTATTTTTATGTATAGAATTTTACACTCAAAGGATAGACATCTTTGTTTTTTGCCATTAAGGAACATAAAATATGACAACTTAAATAGTAACTTTAGCACCAATGCAGCATTTGTTTCTTTATCTTTTTCATTGAAACTCCAGAATGTATTCAAAGTTATACAAGGCTTTCTGTATTCCACAGCTTTTGAAATTAATGATCTTTATATTGGAATGGTAATTTTTTTTCTGGAAGGTCTTTGTAGTCATTCATTCTTCACCTAAGTTAATGAGAATTTTATTGATCATTTTTTGGAAGATATTCTTTTTGCTACCCAGCTTTTGGAAATTGTTGTTTTTTTACTTCTAACATAATTGCTCTTTTTTTCCATGAAGTGCTTTGAAAGTTGTTTCTTTTTTTTCCACCATTTTTATTCACAAAATGGGATATAAGTTTTGTACATGCTATTCAGAGGTATATTATTTTTACTACCCCCTCACAGCATGTGTGTCTTGTTTGTCAAGCAGATGTCTTTTATTTCATACCTTAATGATTATGATCTCTTGTAGGTGAACAATTCAACCACTTATTTCATACTTCAGAATTTTTCTCTTTTTTTTTTTTTTTTATTTGCTCCTTTGAGGATATTCAGGAAGACTGTCTTGAAGGTTTGGATGTTTACTATTCTGTAAGCTCCATCATCTAACAATGCTTGGGGATCTTGATTTTTTCTGTATTGTATGGTCAGTGTACATATTATAATGCAAGAGTCTTAGTTAAATATATTCTTTTTTTTTTTTCATGTTCTTATGGTCATAGGCACTGCTTCATTTTGGTTGCTGGGATTTTTTTTTCCTTACTACACATTTGTATAGCACCTTGAAGAGCAAGCAGACTTTTTTCTTTTAGTTAGATTATAATGCTCATTAGTTGAAAAGGGTAGATGACATGAGTATTGTTGTCTTATCTTTGTGATGTATATTACACATATATATAAACTGAACTTTTCTTCCTTGAGTTGATTAAATTTATTTCCCATTGGCTTCAGAAGGTAATTTTCACAGACTATGTTTATCATGTGGACTTGGACATTTTCCTTGTTGTCGGCTTTTTCCTCTGGTCTCCTGTAAAGTGAATGTTTTTATGCACTGCAGATGTGACCCATACCATCTTGGTTCTGGTAGTATACTAAGGCTTAATTTACACATCTGATTGAGTTTTTAGGTCATAGAAATTTCCACTTCCAATTTTTTTTTTTCTGCTGGTTTATTTAACTGATTTTCGAGAAGGATTATGCACATAGTTAAGGCAAGAAGACCATGGATTTGTAGCACAAAAAAGTTCAGTTTAGGTAATGTTTTGCATCATAGAGGAATTATGTGTTGAGTGCATATACACGAAGAAAGTGTACCAAAACCACCTGAACATACACATTAGAATGATTAAGGGAGAGAACCAGTGGAAATTGATTTTTAGATATATATTAGAAGTAAGTAGCTGCTATTCCAAAACATACTTACCTTCCACTGACAATTTAGCTATTCCTCGACATTGGCTTTGCCTATCTAAGCATCGGTCTTGCATGCTCCAGTCTTTTATACCCCACTTAAATGCCCTTGGCAATATCTAATTTTCAAATTCATCAATGTGCCCTCTGTCCTGATACTGTATATAAGCACCTCATTCAGATAGTGTAATCACTTTTTCTCGACAAAGCGTTGGTCACGGTTTTGTCTTATGAAGTGCTGTGGTTCATTCTTGATTTTCTCGTCGCCTTGTGGATTTCCATATAATTATAATTTCCTTACAAAAAAAACGGACGTGATGTGTGCGGGTATGAATTCCTGTATTACAATTGTCAGCGTGGTGGTTCATCTGACCTCCCCTATTTCTGCTTTGTTATCTAGCATCTTTAAGCAGTCAGGATGGGTCACTTTCAGTTGAGGCTGTTTGTGTTTTGATACATCAGGAAATGGACACATATATTCAGCCCGAGGGTGTTTTTCTTTTGGGGCCTCTGAAGTTGCTTTTTTTTTATCCTGGTTTTTCTAGGAAGAATTTGGTCTCTGTCTTTCAGACGCTTTCTTTACTAAGTCATCTTCTCATGAGTTCGACCTGGATTAACCACCTCCTACTCCTTTTCTTCAATTAGTCATTTGGGTTGTGAGCTTTTGGGGCATTTCTCTGTGATCTTTAAGTCTACTCCTCCCTTGATGGTGTAACAATTTGGGAGGGGGGCTATTTAGTTTTTCTATTTGTCTATTTGCATGCTTTGGCTTTCTATCTCCAGGGTGATGTATTTTTTAAATTCAACAGATTAAAATTATTTAATTTTAGATATATGGGGTTCCAGGTTGGTTCGTGTGATCAGTTGAAATAATCACATTTTCTTTATTTGTTAGCTCCTCATTTTTGCTCTGTGATGTTTCTTCCCCCACAAATTGTTGGCAGCCCATCACTGGTCCCTACATTAATTTGTGGATAAATGGGGTCTCCTACTGACTTTTACTTTGATCAGACTGCCTGTTTCTGTTCCTTCTGTAGAGATACCTTAGTGAAGGGACTTTGTCTATCTGCTGTAGCCTCTGGGTGTTATATGTGGCTTCTTTTTTGTCATTTTATGTTTGCGGGTGTCCCAGAGGCATTTGTATTGCAAATTGCCATCACCCATTTGCTTTTTTGTTGTTGTTGTTGACTTTCTTTGACTCTAGCAGCTGAATAGACTCAGACCTTAGTTTCAGGGCCACTCCATTTGGGCCGACCAACACCAACATCATCAGTATCAACCTAGGTGAGGGGGGGGGGTCAGTTAGAGTGAGGTAGCAACTATTGATAGACACCTGGTATTCATTCACTGCGGATCCATGGCCACCTTGGTCTTTCCATTCAATTTTCCACCTCTGTTATCCTCTCACCATATGGTATTTCCACCTCCACCTGACCATTGTGATGTGGGTTTTTGTTTCATGGCTATCAAAGTTAGTGATCACAGGGGTAGTAGTGACAGTTGATCCTGTTCTTCTGGAATTTTATTCCTGTTTAGTTGTTATGCCTGTCATTCTTTCTCATCTCCACCCATTCTTTGTTTCTCCTTAGTCCACAATGGAGTCCTTTCTCACCCTACATTGGCATTCTTCACCAGGTCTGTGGATGCCCAAGTTTGTGATTGCTGAGGCATTTCTCCACATTTTCATTGTGAATTCATCTTGCCTTTAGCTATGTTTCATATACAGGGATCATGTTCTGCAGTTCAGGGATCTAGTCTTTTGTCTAGCATCAGCACCATATGTTTTTTTCTGGGTTGCACAAGTTTTCACCATGTTTTATGCCTAGCTCAGCCACTTACCATCCAGCTCCAGGCTATGGAATGGATAGTCAGGTTCTTACTTACAATATAGGTTCTATCTCTGGGGTTGTGGGCTTCCCTCAAATCTCTTGCATTTTTTTGGGATCAGGACACATGCTATTCCTTCAGTGTTCCCATTGCAACAAGTGTATCTGGAACTTCAATACACTGGATGTTCCAGTCTCTTTCTTCAGGAGCAACGTCTTAGTTTTTGACTGGGGGTTGGTTTGAATCACCTCTGTCATATGTGTGTGTATCTGTATATAGGTATATTATTTTTATATATATATATATATATATATATGTATATACATATATATATGTGTGTGTGTGTGTATATATATATATATATATATGTATGTGGGTATGGATGTGTAAATGTATATTGCCCATCTGTCCATAGTTCCTCTTCACAGATACTTCACTTGGGGGATGCGGTGTGTATCTTCAAGTTCAGGAATTTTAGGGTATATAAATGGAGGACTAATCTTCATTCTACATCAGTAATTTAGGACTACTTGCTGTCCAACAGGCAATAGTGCAAGGTCTAGATCTTTTGCATGGGAATATCCTCATGAGATGTTTCATCAATTCCAGTGGTCTCTTAAATTTGGTTCTTTCTCTATGGGGCCTATTCCAATCATGTCAGCCTCCTGACTTGCCATTTTCCTGGGGTGATGGACTTCATAGCAGATTGTCAGTCTCAGTCCTCACTTTCTCCTGAACAAATGGATTCTCCATTGTGCAGTTTTCCAATAGTTTTGTTCTCATTTTGGTTCTCTATTTTTAGCTTTTGCCACTTACTGCTACTCATCTACAAGCTTTGGAGTCTACACTACCTCATCCTCAGGCTTGAGTGGCAGATGCAATTGGTTCTGCTTGAATGGGATTGCACATCTATGACTTTCCCTCACATCCTCTGTTACTCAGTTCTGGTTATATTTTGATCCTCTACTTGCAAGATGTTCCTAGCATAGATTGGCCGGACTAGCCATGATTTCCTTTTCTACAGTTTCTTTACGTGAGTCCACCTCTGCATCTTTGTTTATCTTTATTAAGGCATCCTCAACCCAACATTCAACATGAAGATTCTTCCCAGCTCATTGGGGTTTAACATCTACAGTTGCCTAGGGTGTGCCTTATAAGGAGATTATACCCAGTTTACCAAATGTGTTCACCATATCTTATTTTTTAGTTGGGTTTAACTTTGTCTCCTGTCATTTAGGTCAGACAATTTTTTCATCTCCTTTTAGTTATCCTAAACATCTGATGGTTTTATACTCCCCAGTGCTATCCAGCCTTCTTCTCAAATAGTCTTTTCCATTACTTAATTGAAATGCCCTGTCTCAACAACCTTTATGAGTCTTTAGCCTCATGTACAATGTATAATCACTTCCTTAATGGGTATTTTGTTGTTGCTGAGATGCTGATATCATCAGCTGGAGTTGTTGACATGTTTGTAGGACTCTTTATCTCTCCCTTTAGGCCCTTTTATATCCTGATAGGTCCTTTCTTCCTAAATTTCTGGGCACCTGGGAATGGGATACATCCCTCTCCACAATTCTTTTGCCAACTATTTCTCACCTCTACACCTGATCATATGTTGATCATTTGTTTTGTCCTGTCAGGCCCAAAGATGCTATGTGGCTCACTCTAATTCCTTTCGTGATGATAGTTCTCATCTCTGTACTCTTTGGGATACTTCAGTTTCCAAAGGTTTATCCCCACTTACTTGGAGGTAGTTTTGCAAATATCCAGGTTGCATATTCTGGATTTTACAGGCCTGATAGTTATATCTCATCAGCCTCAGTGCATTTATGTATTTCGCTGCCCATTTCTTTGATTCACTGGGGGACATTTTACGGGCCTGTATGTGGACTTCTCCTAATGCTTTTTTCTCGCATTCTATATATGGTCTGGCAGTTTTTCTTCTGGGGGTTTACCACTACCCCTATGGCCATTTTAACAACATCTGCTAGATTATATGGAGGAGAGAGTAATCTTATCTTGTTTTTCTTTTTTAGGGTCCCTTACATCTTGCTTTCATCAGATCCCACTCTGTGGTGAGTGTTGCCCAGACAGGTGTGCTTTTATCAGTCCAATTCCACACTAGCAACCCATTTGACTCTACTTAATTCTGGTTGCAACAGGCTCTGTAGAAATGAGGTGTTCCATAAGACCATCTAGATCTAGACTATCATGAGTAAAGCTAAAGGGGATTCTCCCAGTCCCTGCCAGTCAGTGGATTGAATAAATAGCGGGTTGTTTTGTTTTTCAAAATTAGGAGAACTTGGTACCTATTTGCACCACTTCCAGAGCATTGTTCCTTAGGAATCCCCAATGCACATTATCCCCCCTCTGCCAGTTTCTACTAGTGGAGCTAGGAAGTCCTTACCACACTCAGTTATCTGTTGCTGGGGTGGTGGACAGCAGCTTTTCCTCCAGAGTGTTTGAGTGTGTTCCTCCACTCTTGAAGAAGAGGGCGAAGCTGGGGGCCCTCCCACCCATGTCCCTGGATCTATTTCCCAGATTTTGGTAGGGGCGCCACTGACCTACACAGAAGCTATCTCATAATACCGGTTCAGATTTGATCCTACACCATCTGGTTGAAGCGTTCTTGGCCCTTCTTATGAGCAATGTTGGGTTGTATTGTTAATTTATGGAGGTCCATTATCTCCTCATAATTTTGAATGCAAAGTGGTCCCATTTTAGGTCCTTGGTTGAACACAGTGTTCCACAACCTCTCCATAATTATGGGGGCAAGTGGAATGATCCTTGCCCATTCAGTTGGAGAGTAAGGATGAATGTTCATAATTTCAGAATGGATGAGTTCTGTTCCTTTGGTTGAGTAAGGCATATATGATCCCTTCATTCCAAGTCTGGGGGTGCCTTTCAGACTTCTTCAGGTGGAAGAGAAAGTTCGTCCACTTCAATGTTGTTTATTTCCTCATTGTGATTCCAGTGGTTCAGAACACATCACTCTATGGCTACAGGTTGGGATCCCATCAAAAGTATATCTATATATCACATTACGGTTCACTTGCTCTTGCCACCAACGTGGGATATAGGGACCATGACCCCTTAATTCCAACCCTGAGTTGTGAAACCTCAATTATCTGGTTGGGGCTGGCCTATAATAATTACTCATGTACTATATTCCACCCTTGATACCAATATGAAGTTCTGGGTGAAAGAACGTACCTGTTCTGGATGTAGTACAGTTTCCTCACTTGGGTATCACTCTTATCTTGGTACACCCTTGTTCTATTCTGTATGGACAATGCCCTCACTGGCCCCTCCACCTTCTCAATGTGGGATTCTATCTAAAGTGTCAGTGGAGGGTAAGTATATTTTGAAAGTTAACATTTTCCTAAAATGAAAATGTATTTCCAATAATACTTGCCTTCACTGACACTCTCCTACACTTCCTCCCCACAAAAAGCAGGTGTTAGTGACTGAGATGGTGTAAGTCTTGAAAAAGTGATTACATTATCTGAGTGAGGTTCTTATATACAGTGTCAGGATAGAGGGTGCATTGATGCAGGTGGAGGAATTTGCAAATTAGATATTGCCAAGAGCATTTAAGTGGGGTATAACAGACTGGAGCATGTGAGACCAATGCTTAGATAGGCAAAACCAATGTTGAGGAATAGCTAAAGTGTCAGCAGAGGTAAGTATTATTGGAAATAAGTTTTCAATTTAGGAAAATGTTAACCTTTCCACATAATATACTTGAAAAATGTAGCAACTTATATCGGTTGAAATACATTATTTTAAGAGTAATCTCATTAACATTTCTTTGTATTGTTAAAAGAATAATTCTTGGTCATAGAAAGGAAAATGTCTCATGTATATTATTAAGATATGGAAGTGATAAAAAAACGTCTTTTATAGTTATAAAGAGTAAATGTTAGTTTCATTTATCATGATTATAAATGAACATCAGTGTATGTTTATTTGGAAGAAAATAGGAAATAAAAAGTTAGTAAAACTAGTAGTTCATGCATATAAAACCAATAAGTTATTTTAGGACAGGTTGCACTTGCATATCAATAATTTTCTCTAATTGTGTTGTATGTTTTCAAGTTTTAATTTACTGTTTACTTCTAAATATTTTATTTAATTCCAATACATTTCTATAATAATATTCCTGAAAAATAAAACATATTCTTTACACTCGCATCCACGTCAGTATGCAACATTTAAGCTTATTAGTAGTTCTTATTTAAAATGTGCAGCTCATGCTGCCATTTTAAGTGTGTATGTAAATTGTTCATTAATTTATCAGAAATGTTCTTGAATTTTAAAAATATTTCTATTTCTATTTCATAGATGTTTCTAACAACAACAGAATTTGTGGAAGGTTTTGGTCGGCATATATTTCTCTTGCTTACCAACAAATGTCTGTATGTATTACAACCTGGCATTGGTGTATACAAATTTCACAAGCTTCTGTCTTTCACCTATTCTGAAATTGACTGTGTGTTGGTATGGACTCATTATTTTTAATATTAACATTACTAAATAAATGAATTAATACTGTGAGATTGCAGATTTTAAATTCTTCATTATCTTTAATAAAACTAATTTTCCTATTTCAGTAAGGTTATGTTGTTTATGAATTTCAGCCCAGCTAAGATTTTATGCTATTCCAGTTGGTATAACATAAACAAAAAGTAGTTTAATAAAATTTTGAATGTAAGACACTAAAACCTTGTCATGCCCAGTAAAGGATACCCGGGTCAATAGGGTTGTAGAATGAAACTAATGTTCAGTAATACCCTTCATCTCTTTACTTGTTACATCTTGGATCTGAAATACAGAGGCAAGGTACACCCATCACAGACTGAGAAAAAATATTTTTGAATTTGGTTGTCCTTTAAGTGAAATTCAAAAGTACTTGCCCCTTTTATAATTTTACTGATCCCACTGAAGTCAACATTAAAAAGTTATTTTTACAAACTGATTTAGTATAGAATTTGTATACATTTAATAACTTATATATTAATTGTATTGTTTTTGATCAAAACTTATTATTGATCTAAAAGTTACATTTTACATATCAAAACAAATTATGTAACCTGATCCAAAGCTTGTAATTCTGGTATGATCATTAATGACTTATTGAATGTCATAGCTTGCAAACGTACAATAGGCCAGCTGTGATGCTAAGTATCATTATCTAACTTCTTAGAGCAGAGGAGTATTTCCATAGCTTTAAAAAGGAAGTAATATCAACAACAACAAAAATATCACAAAAACAATAAAAAAAATTCCCAGATCTCTAATTTCCTGGAAAGTATTTTTTTTATTCAGCTTTCAAATATGACTTTGATACACCACCTCTTGGTAACTAGTACATATCAAAACTTTCGTTATGAATGATTGGCAAGCTGTCTACATTGTTTTGAAGCTTAGCTCATCCTATATACAACCAACTTTCACATTCACTCGTCCTCAGCTAATTTTTGTCCATCCTAAATAAGTTGCCAAGCAATTTTCTGCACATTGCATTGCCTTGCTTGGTCAGTTTTAAAACCTGTAACTGAGGTATGAAGAGCATATATATCTTACTTGCCTGGTGTTACAGCCTGGAACTGAAGTATGGAGAGTATATTTGTTTTCTTACATGCTAGTATTATAAGAATACAAATAAACATTTTCTAATATGGTACATTACCTCACAGATAGCTATTCTTGTTTAGTGCTGCCCTCTATATGCAAACAAAAATGTTCACATGCCACAAGACTTGCATTCCTAATGATCATCGTGTTCCACTGCATCTCTCATGCAAATTATCTTGCCACAACCCTCTATCAATAGGAGTCCAACACATCCTCCTGATGCATGTGACTCCCTCTATTTGATTTTACCACACTATCACTTCTTGTTTGGCAACACTACCATCAAGACTTTTGATTGAGGAATTGTTGGCTTTAATTCATCAGGCCTTGAGTTTGGGGACCCACACATTTTGAATACAGTTCACCAATTTTGTAAAGATAAGCTGCTGTTATAGATTTTTGTATATTTTTTTATATTAATATTATCATTTGTTGTTATTTAGGTTCAATAACATAATTTGAGTTAGATTTGTAAATACTTATTGTAAGGTTAGGGTTTTAAATTAAAGCTTAATGACATCCTATGTACTACAATGTTCAATTAGTCTTAACAAGAGTTTGTTATTTTAGGCTTACCTGTAATTCATGTTACAAGTAAATCGCAAATTAGATTAGATATGTTGTCTTCTTCAACACGTACCATCTAATACAATTTTTATTGTCAATACCTTCTTACTTAATTTTACAATATAATGACTATTCCATTTTCGTAATTATTTATATTTTATACTTTGTACACTTAATTTAGTTTATGAGCACCCCTGGAGCAGGATTTGCCCAACCTTCTTCTCTCAGTATTGCTCACCTTTCTTGAAAACTGCCAAATTTGTTTGGAACAATGTAGATTATCACAATTTTCCTCCACCTTATTATGACTTGCTTTCCCAGGCCCCTGGCCCAGCATGGCCAGGTGGTTAGGGCACTTGACTCGCACTCTGAGGGTTGTAGGTTTGATTCTCCATCACACCAAACATGCTTGCTCTTTCACCCATGGGGGCAATATATTGTTACAATCAATCACACTCTTCATTGGTAAAAGAGTAACCCAAGAGTTGGCAGTGGGTGGTGATTACTAGCTGCCTTATCTCTTGTATTTCACTGCTAAATTAGGGATGGCTATCGCAGATGTGTAGCTTTGCACAAAATTCAAAACAAACCAAACCCAGGCCTCTACTGCAGAGTCTGCTAGGCCTACCTCAGTCCCTTTTAGATATGTTTCACCAGACATTATGGTTCATGGTGAGCTTTTTTTTGTCCCTCTTTTGAGAGAGGGGTGCTTGCATGCCTTGCCCTTCATGGGCTTTTTATTCATTTTGCCTTAGCTTCCCCTATATGGAGGTAGACCCTGATAATCCTATCCTTTTATCCCTTGTCACATTTTTTAGCCTTCATCTTACCCTATCAACTCTCTTAAAGAAATTGTCCACCATACACCTCCTTTTTGAGATGTTCCACCTGTATATATATATCTTCCCCTCCTTACCTCCACATTGTGGCAATTGACATCTTTGGCTCTTTCCCTACACACATGACTTCTTTTCTTTACCATCCACTTCTTTTTTTTTCAACAGTATTTTTTTTTGGGGGTTGGGTACTCCTGTGACCTTAGCATCACATAGGATATCTCTGATGCTACATTAATTTTTTTCTTTTTTGGTTGCTCGTTTGTCTCATCATGAGCCATTGCAATCTTTATTCATTTATTATGTCTGGCACCTTTCTGTAATATACCTGTCCTACCTCTATGGGTTCCTCCACTAGTTATGTATTCTCAATGCAGATTGAAGTTCTGTGATTGATCTGTCATGCCTCAATCACTTCTTGGTTCTTTCCTGTTTTACTATGTTGTACTTTATCACACTCTGGTGGGAAATTTCTTCAAGACTAAGGATACCCATGGTAGACATTTCGTATGTTTATACCCATGTTCTTATTTTTCATCCCTCGTGATGCTATCTTAGATTTGTTCACCACAAGGTTGGGTACCAGTTTTGTGCCATGCCCTTCAAGCTAGTTTTAGATCCATATGTTGTTTGTCGGGTGGTCAGAGTTTTACCCAATTTCAGCATGATGGGGGATTGTACTTACACCACAGCTTGGTTGTCTGGTTTCTGTTAGCTCAATCTGAACTGGAGTTGTCACAACATTCTCATCTGTTTCTTAAATATGCAATTCAAGTGGTTAGATTTTCCAGCTGGAGAAGTCCTTCCCATTACCTACTTAACAACACCCAACTCTATTGGGCCTATCCTTCTCCTCTTCGACTGCATTTGATGGAGCTTTCAGCTATCCGCACCATTCGTGTTAAGTATCTTGCTGTTAGCAAAGTTCTATCGCATTTGAGTATGTGGCTTCTATGGAAGTACTTATCCTGTTGGGTCTGGCATGTATATGATCTCTTCAAGGGATGCTGCATGACTCATGGAATTTTGATATGGTTCCTTTGGATTCTTCTCCCCTCTTTGACGATATGCATTGGTGGTTGAACAAAGACCCCATGTCGTCTGGTTTACCACTTAATCCCTTTCGTCCGAATTTGTTTCCCTTCCCTGATGCTTATCTACAAGGTTGGGGGACATGGGTTGATCTACATGAGGCTTCAGGACAATGGTATAAGGCCAAAGGATCTTACCATGTTGACACCCTGGAACTTCTGGCAGTCCAACTTGGTTTGGTTCATTTTATTCCTGTTGTTAGGATTTGATTAATCATGATCCATTCTAACAATTTGATGGTGGTTTTTGAGGGCTGAGGGACCACTCCATGGGATAAAGTGTGTTAGGACTGGAAAGGCAAGTTGCAACAAGGTTGAAAGCACCCAGAACATGACATGCCAGGAGATGTATGTGAAGTGCATGGGCATAAAGGGAAATACAAAATTGATCACAATGGAAACTAGAATAGGTGCCCCCTTGTTGAGTGATATAAACCATCGAGCTGAAGCAGCTAAGAAAACCAGATCTGTGCCAGCCAGGAAGGAGAATCTGAAAGACCTAATACAGAGTGGCATGGATAAATGAAATTATCTGAGGAAAATGATGGACAGGATGTGAAAAATGAAGGTATAAACTGGTCCTAATCCTGCCTGAATGCATAGACAGCCACACACAAAAGAGGTGACTTGGAATCAAAGAAAGAGACAAATGCATTCCCCCAAGGAGTACCCCACTGGAAATCTGTTCTTTTTTATTCTGGATCAGTTTTTTTTCCCACCTACACTTTGACATCTTGTGTGGAATATTTATTCCTTTTCGTTGTTTTTGTTTCTTTCCGGCTCCCACCTTTATTCCTGGTTGGATCCAGATGGACTTCTATGTCTCATACATGTTCTTGATTGCTTCATTGTCTTCAAGCCTTCTTTCCTTTTGTTCCCTTTCTTGTAGTTTCATTCCCTGGCACCACTTCTCTGTTCATGACTTTTTTCCCTTCTTCCCTTACCATTTTGATTCAATTGGCTTTTTCTTCCTTGTCTCCTTCTTCCCATAATCAATTCCTGGTGTCTTCACTCCAGTTAGACACCTTATCTTTTACCTGCATCTCACCCCCTTCATACATTGGAGGTATTTCTCCTGTCAAACATTGGGACTACACCTCACACTTTCATCTTCCATTATCTGCTTCAGGTAGCTGTTTCTTTTTTCGTCAAGGTACAATCTTCAACCTGTTGCCATTTATCACTCTTCATTGAGACTGACTGGGTAATATACCTTATATTTTTCAGAGGCATGTCCCCTTTTTTATTCAAGGATCCCACTCTGTTCTGAGTGTTGCCTATCCATGTATATGTAAGCTAGTCCAATCCGAGCCCACTCTGTTGTGAGTGTTGCCTATCCATGTATATATAAACTAGTCCAATCCACACTGTATGATCATGATGACTTAACAGTTATAATTTTCATGGCCATAAAATTTACACTATGCTCATAGGTTTTTTCCTCGTGATATATTTGCTTCATTAAAATTCCCCATTCCAGACCATATAACCCAAGGGCTTCATAGGTAAAGGAGGTGGCTGCCCATCCCTGTCATTCCTTAGAATGAATAAGTCAGGAATGGTCTGCTTTTCAAAATAGGGTTTTCATGGTCACATATAACAAGGATAATATGGCACTGGGGTGGTTTCTGTCTGATTGGTTTTGAGTGGGATGTCGCAGAATACGGGGTCCAATCGTCCTGATTTCGGTTTCCCAGATCGGTAATTTATTATCAATTTGCTAAGATGTGCCCTGTTCTTAGATCGTTGGCCTTGATATCTACCCTCCAGTCTACTGAACTTGAGGTGAAGACAGTATGATCCTCTTTCCTATCCTCACATGGATGTCGGTTCCTGGTGGCTGGGTTTCAGATTGTAGATGACTTACCGATGGTATGATCCTCATCCTATCCCCACATGGGTGTTGGTCGCTGGTGGCTGTGTCTTGGATGCAGTTGACTTACTGCATATGGTCCATCGTGCCTTAGACACTCTACACCTTGGAGCACATCCTTTTTACTCTCACCCACATTACTGTTTGTAGGGATTTACTTCTATGATGTTTCTTTGAAGGGATTGAGATTCCAATATAAGGTGAAATGGATCCCTATTTAACCATTTTTCTCTCCCTTTTGGATGATCTCCTACCATTTTTCACCAATGTCTACAACTCCTCTTTCCACACTAGTGCTGAGTGTATCTGGTACAGAAGTGGTGTGGTCTCCCACATATAGTTCTTTACTATGACGATCTCACGTTTAGGGTATTCTTCAAATGCTTTCAAATGATGCTTTTTTCTATCCCTTGCATCGATTCCTCCACCTATTTAATGTGGGATTCTAGCTATATCTGTGAGAAGAGGTAATGTACCGTATCAGAAGTTACAATTTTCTTATACTGAAAATGTATTTTTGATAGGTACTTACTTCTTCTCACACTTCCCACCATTCCTCACCACTGAAAACTGGTGCTTCAATTTTCAGCAAAAACTCAAAGTGATAGTTGGGAAGAATTGAATAGAAGGAGTCACATGCATCAGGAGGGTGTGTTGCATAACAATTTTTCATGTGAGATGCATATGAACCACAATATTTGTGGGGAACGTGGGATTGCAAGGCTTGTGGCATAGGAAAAAAAATGTTTGCATATAGAGGGCAGCAATGAATGAGAATAGCTATTTATGTGAAGAGGAAGTACCTATTGGAAATACATTTTCAGTATAGGAAAATTATAACTTTACAAATGATATGTCTTTGAATATATATATATATATATATATGAAAAATCAGAAGTTAGAATTAGTTTTGAATCATTTTACCAAAGAAAGTAGAAATTGGATAATTATTTTTATATTTTTTAATATCCAGTTTTAGTTTTTTTATGAGATAAAATTAACCCTCATCAGCACACCCCAACGACATTCTCAGTTGTATTTTTTTTTTTTTTGGTCGCAATCATTACAAATTTATATCAATTCATGTAATTGTGAAGCAGAAACCCAGATCAATATGACAGTATTGTTTTTGAAACAGGCTGACAGAGTAAGTAGCTATAATCTAACACTTATCTAGAGTCCACAAGGACCCCATACTATCATTGACCATCACTATACATACAGCTCACTCTATACCATATGAAACAAATTTTTAAACGTTTATTTCACTATATATGCTGTTTTAGAGGATAATCCATCAAAGTAATACAGTATCATCTCCTTTGTTTGCTTATAACATCACTGTGGTAAGCATGTACAAGTGTTTTCTGTGATGACTGCTTATAATGCCCTATTTCATAGAAACTTTGTTTGTTAAGTGTTGTAAATAACCTGCTTATTGGAATTTCAATCCATGGCCTACTAAAAGGATACATTTCTGTTGGGATCTGGTTGGACCCAAGGTGGCTCCCAACGTACAATTTCAGTTTTCTTTGAGTTCCATTTTGCAGTATTATGGTAATCTCATCATATATTGGTGGATACTGACTAGAATATAGGAGTCTGATAAACTTCAGCATTGTTTTTGATACATTGTTTGTGAAAGGAGTGGTTTAATACAACTTATTTTATGCTGAAGAACAATGTAATTTCTTGATTTGTCAACATATTTCATCTAGAATACATATATTGTTATGTTGTTCACATTGCATGCTAGCCCTAATAAAAGTTGTAATGCAATTAGTTTTTGAAATTTCAATCCAAAGCTTGCTATAATGGTAATTTTGTGCTAGGGTCTGGTTGGATTCCAGGTGTTCCACAACATAACTTTTTAAAGGTGTGCTGATGAGTGTTAACAGCACAATCATCATAGAACTTGTAAACAATCAGACATGTAATGTCAAGAGTTTTTGAAAAGTAAGGAAATATTACCTTTCAACTTTTCAGTTATTTTTAAACTACCAAGGGTTTTTGCTGATAAGTAAAGACAGAAAGAAGAAGTTTCCTGTTTGGACAGCCTGTGAATATATGACAAGGTAATTGGTGTGATTGATTATTTAACCCATATTTCATTGTTGTTAAAAATAAAAACAGTTTTTTTTATAAAATATTTACATCAAGATGATTTGGTTACATCATATTTGAGTTGTAATTTCTACTTGTTTGTGATATATCACATTATTAAGATACACACATATATAAAAGATAAGCAGAAACGTTTAACTGTATATTATTAACACAGTTTTGGTTTGAAGTTTAATTTAAATTTCATTATTTTGTTACCATTTTTTCAAGTGATATTTGTTTTGACATTTGTGTTGAATGGTATTTAATGATATGCTTTCTGATATTAGGAGCATCATGTCTAGTTTAGAGCTGGCAATTAGACGGACAAAACCTCCAGTTCTCCCTTGTGTTCCTACGAGCTGTACTGGACAGAGAAGTGCTTTAAAGAAGGCCTTAGCTGCAGAAAATAAAACTGAGGTAAAGATATTTTTTGTAGTTTCAAGTTCTTTAAAGAATAAAAAATCTACAAGAAAGTTGTTTAATACTTCATATATTTTACATTAAAAAATAGGAATAATGAAAACATTGACTTTTTAATAGCATGTAAGCTTAATGATTATTTAATATATAGTTATAAAAAAAAAGGATTAAACACAACATGTCTTTCAAACAGAAATCTTGTTTACAACCAAATGGAAACAATAACTAGTTACAGATAATGTTGTATATGACATGACCTTGGAGGATTTATTTGTAGTTTTTATAACTATCTAAAAATGTATAGCCAATATGTCTTCATTGTCTTCATAATTAATTTACTTGAGTTCTCTCTATATGGGCTTGGTCACTTAGACCAACCTTTCAACCATGTAACAATGAAACTATACATACTGTAACTTTTAATGTATTAAGTGTATCTTCTTGAAATTTCACAAGCTCTTAGTAAACATTACAAGTCTTCTAAAACGTTTTTGAAGTGACATAAAGGTAACTGTTATATTTTTTGTTAGAAAAAAGTTTGAAGTTAATGATTATTATAAGCTTTTTTTTTATGTATATGTTTACTTGCATGGCAGGGGTGTATGTTATCTATGTTTACATAATTTATTATATTATAATAAGCCTTTCAGTATTTTGTTGTTGTTGCTATTAACTAGAATTTCATTTCTCTCAAGATATCTGAACTTGAGGTGCATCATTATGTCCTTGTATTCTGGGATAATCACAAGAATAGTCCTTCACCATCCACATCTCCAGGTGGTCCAAAGAGGAGTGGCTTTCTCATGTATCGAACAAAAAAGGGTAGAGATGGAAGTTCTAATCCCTGGAAACCAGCTTATTTTCTTCTTAAGTATGACATACAAGCAACTTGTTTACTACCAAAAATTAAACTAATTTGTACTTAACAAATATATATAAATGTATATTCAAAATTTTATCTATCAAATTTATTGAGCATAATTTTCAGAAAATAAGAAAAGTCACTATAAAGGTGAAATAAAAATTTTCATTTAGATGGTAACGTTTTTAGATATATAAATTTTGTTGTTGTCACAACATATTTTTGGTAATGAAGCAAAAATAATGAAAATTAAAAATTGTGGTCCTAAAGTTAAAAATTCAAGATACTTGTTTAAAAACTGATTAAAGTAAATGAACAATCAACTTTTTACATACGCAATATAAAATCTTTATTCTTGGGCCATTGCAGTGCATAAAGATTTTATATTGTGTGCTTAAAACTGTTGATTGTATGAGTGTGATCCTAGTTCTTCAAGAATAGGGAAAGATTAATAGCAAATACAATGTTAGGAAATGGGTACCAACTTTGAAAAATAAAAACCAAGATCATCTAACAGTTGTAGTGTTTTCTAGTTTCCTTGATCTGAAGAAGACATGCATTAGCAATTTGAAAGAGGACATGCAGTGCATAAAAAAGTTTCTAATCTAGTGTCACCTCTGTGTTTTTTAAGGTTATTTTGTTGTACACATGATGTACTTACTAAATTAAAAAAACATTTCTTACCAAATCCTTTACATAATATTTCATAACAGATAGAATGGAAGTGATTGTTTCATATTGAGAATAAAAAGTATTATTCAACAATTAGTATAAAAGTGATTGTTTGTTTCATGAAGGAAAAAGTATTGTGTAATTATTTACACCAACTGCATTAAATATATACTGGTCATCCCATTGGATGTTTAATCATTCTCTTTATGTCTGTCACCTTCATTGTAGTTCTGACAAGTTGGATGTTTACTATTAAGTAGAAAACATTTGCAGAATGCATTGTGATGTTTCCTTTAAAGCTGTAGATTTAATATAAATATAAAACTGACATGTATGGTAGATGGTGTGTCCCCAGTTGGTTAAAATTTTTCGTAATTGTACTTTGTGTTCATTCTATGATATTGTATGATTTAAAAAGTTATGGTTTAAATGCCAACGTCAGCAAACTGTTGGAAACCAGTAGTCATAAAAATTGTTCTAAAAGTTAAGTTCACTGCAGATGTTTTTTTCACATTCCTGTTAATTTATCCACTGTGGCTCAAAATATACATTTCCTGTAGTCTCATTTGATCTCACAGTATTTTTTTTTAGGGCTGGTGTTCTCTACTGCTTTGATCAGGAGGGGGTGAAAGAACCAAAGTTTTTCATACATTTGAGGTATAGAATGAAATGATTAGTTAATTTCCAATACCTTAAATACTCTGGATAAATATACATCTATATATATATTTCACTTTCGATATATTTTATTATTTTGTTTGTTATAAAATCAGTGTGTCTGGTGGCTTCATATTTTGTGTAAAACATTTTACATAAGAAAAAATATATATAATGCAAAGCATAGAATATAAACATCAGGTTTTGAGAAATTAGAAGTTTTTTCTACAACAGGTAATAAAAATGTCTAAAGTGTAAAGCAGTATAGATCTGTTTTTTTTAACAGGGTCTAGTTCAACTCAGATTATCTGGTTTTTCCACAAGTTATTTTGTTGTTGGGATACAGAAGATCCTATCCTGATATGAGTGTTTAAACATTGTAGAAAAATTAACAAATAATTGTATAGATCAAGTATGGCAGTAGAAGGGGCATTAGATATTGTAATTCTGTGTAAATGTATTAATTTTCAAAAAATAATTAACTTAAATGTTTCGTGAAATTCTTGTAATTTTAATGATTCAGCATTTTGCAACAACTATATATTGAAAACATGTTTAACTCTTTCCAGTTGGGCTCGGTCCATGGGATTGACCACGTAACCATTTTGTGCTTGCTATAGTTTCAATAAATTAATAATTGATAACAAACTTATTGACATAAATTTATGAAATAATAGTTCAATAAAATATTGAATGCGACTCAACAAACGAGATGACATGGCCTTTCAAACATGACCTGTATGGAAAGGGTTAAAGAGGAAATATTCTGGAATTTTCTTATCTGGAAATGTACTCAGAAGTTTTTGAAAGAATCAAAAAAGTAGATAGGCTTCAGGAAAATTAAATTTTTAAAAACCTTTACTTACTGAGGTCATTTCTTCTACACATTGGTTTGCTTATGCATTGTTTAACTTAAGTTGCAACATTGTGACTATTGATAATTTGCATAGTTATGCTATCAATCTATGTACAGCTTGATCCAATCAAAAAAGTACCATACAACAGGGACCACACCATTATTAGATGTTACTAAATTTGTGCACATGTTTGCGATTCTCCACCCAGGCCAACAACATGTTGACTTTACCCATGTATTTCTGAGGAAGTCTTCAAACTACTCTTATAATATAATGCTTAGAGTGTTAGGGCATCAATGATTGTAGTGTCCTTTTTATTTAACAACCATATATTGATAGCTTGGTCTCAATATTATGATAGACAGGCTGAAACCATTTCCATTGTTAATGTATTTGGAGGCTGCTTGAGAAACTTAAATTATGGCCTAATATAGGGATTGCTTAAAATTTAGTGCCATACATCAAATAAATATATTCCAAAACAAAGTTGTTACAAATAAGTCTTACAATGTTTCATTTAATCTGTAAAATTTGTGATTAAACCTTTCACAGTTGTTGAGGCTATGAATAGAACTTGGTGTGGCACAAATATGTCTAAGTAAACAAACTGACATTATGGAAACACACTCACAAGACAACTTGTACTTGAATTGGCAAAAAGGTATACAACTAGATGCCCTTTGGTGGCTGACAATTATTCAGATTATTCATGACCAACTTTTATACTGAAGAGTAGCTACGAAACCAGTTAGATAAAGAACAGTTTGATAAGAAAATGGAAAGAATTTGAGTTTTGTTATATATATTCATCTTTAAGTGATACCACCTTGAATTATAGTTTATATTTGTGTGTGTATGTAGTATATATATATATATATATATATATATATATATATA